TTAACTTAAGATGAACTAAGCAATGATGACATCAGTGATAAAACTTTAATGTAAACAGATTACTATAAAGCACAAGTGAGTATTACAAAGACAGGTCATATTACCTGGAGTTTACCTGGAGAGAGTTTCGGGGGTCAATGCCCCCGCGGCCCGGTCCGTGACCAGGCCTCCTGGTGGATCAGCGCCTGATCAACCAGGCTGTTGCTGCTGGCTGCACGCAAACCAACGTACGAGCCACAGCCCGGCTGATCAGGAACTGACTTTAGGTGCTTGTCCAGTGCCAGCTTGAAGACTGCCAGGGGTCTGTTGGTAATCCCCCTTATGTGTGCTGGGAGGCAGTTGAACAGTCTCGGGCCCCTGACACTTATTGTATGGTCTCTTAACGTGCTAGTGACACCCCTGCTTTTCATTGGGGGGATGGTGCATCGTCTGCCAAGTCTTTTGCTTTCGTAGTGAGTGATTTTCGTGTGCAAGTTCGGTACTAGTCCCTCTAGGATTTTCCAGGTGTATATAATCATGTATCTCTCCCTCCTGCGTTCCAGGGAATACAGGTTTAGAAACCTCAAGCGCTCCAGTAATTGAGGTGTTTTATCTCGTTATGCGCGCCGTGAAAAGTTCTCTGTACATTTTCTAGGTCGGCAATTTCACCTGCCTTGAAAGGTGCTGTTAGAGTGCAGCAATATTCCAGCCTAGTAGAACAAGTGACCTGAAGAGTGTCATCATGGGCTTGGCCTCCCTAGTTTTGAAGGTTCCATTATCCATCCTGTCATTTTCCTAGCAGATGCGATTGATACAATGTTATGGTCCTTGAAGGTGAGATCCTCCGACATAATCACTCCCAGGTCTTTGACGTTGGTTGTTTCGCTCTATTTTGTGGCCAGAATTTGTTTTGTACTCTGATGAAGATTTAATTTCCTCATGTTTACCATATCTGAGTAATTGAAATTTCTCATCGTTGAACTTCATATTGTTTCTGCAGCCCACTGAAAGATTTGGTTGATGTCCGCCTGGAGCCTTGCAGTGTCTGCAATGGAAAAGACACTGTCATGCAGATTGGGGGTGTCATCTGCAAAGGAAGACACGGTGCTGTGGCTGACATCCTTGTCTATGTCGGATATGAGGATGAGGAACAAGATGGGAGCTAGTACTGTGCCTTGTGGAACAGAGCTTTTCACCGTAGCTGCCTCGGACTTTACTCTGTTGACGACTACTCTCTGTGTTCTGTTAGTGAGGAAATTATAGATCCATCGACCGACTTTTCCTGTTATTCCTTTAGCGCGCATTTTGTGCGCTATTACGCCATGGTCACACTTGTCGAAGGCTTTTGCAAAGTCTGTATATATTACATCTGCATTCTTTTTGTCTTCTAGTGCATTTTAGGACCTTGTCGTAGTGATCCAGTAGTGTGAGACAGACAGGATGCGACCTGTTCTAAAACCATGTTGCCCTGGGTTGTGTAACTGATGGGTTTCTAGATGGGTGGTGATCTTGCTTCTTAGGACCCTTTCAAAGATTTTTATGATATGGGATGTTAGGTGCTATTGGCTGTAGTTCTTTGCTGTTGCTTTACTGCCCCTTTGTGGAGTGGGGCTATGTCTGTTGTTTTTAGTAACTGAGGGACGACCCCCGTGTCCATGCTCCCTCTCCATAGGATGGAAAAGGCTCGTGATAGGGGCTTCTTGCAGTTCTTGATGAACACAGAGTTCCATGAGTCTGGCCCTGGGGCAGAGTGCATGGGCATGTCATTTATCGCCTGTTCGAAGTCATTTGGCGTCAGGATAACATCGGATAGGCTTGTGTTAATCAAATTTTGTGGCTCTCTCATAAAAAATTCATTTTGATCTTCGACTCTCAGTCTGGTTAGCGGCTTGCTAAAAACTGAGTCATATTGGGACTTGAGTAGCTCACTCATTTCCTTGCTGTCATCTGTGTAGGACCCATCTTGTTTAAGTAGGGGCCCAATACTGGGCGTTGTTCTCGATTTTGATTTGGCATAGGAGAAGAAATACTTTGGGTTTCTTTCGATTTTATGGTTGTATGCATTGTTGTACATTCAGTAGAATGGAGTATTCTGTTAGGTAGTGTATTTAAAAAATAATAAAGTTAGATTGGGTTTTAGGTTTAACATTTATGTGATATAATTGTGAGAAACATTTAAGATATACAATTTATAAGGTTCAGTTATTCAGTATTTATTTGGTTTTGGGTGAGTAAGTGATCTTTGAGAAGAGACTTGAATTTATAAACAGGTAGTGTTTCTTTTATATTTACAGGTAATGAGTTCCAGATTTCAGGGCCTTTTATGTGCATTGAGTTTTTGCATAGTGTGAGATGGACACGAGGAACATCAAAGAGTGATCTGTGCCTTGTGTTATGGTCATGTGTTCTGTTGAGGTTGGCAAGGAGATGTTTGAGGGGAGGGTTAATATCAGAGTTAAGTGTTCTATGTATGTAATAGGTGCAGTAATAAGTATGAATGTTTTGTATGGTGAGTAGGTTTAGTGTATTGAATATTGGTAAAGAATTTAGTCCATTGTGTGGTCTGAAACTGAGTGTGGAGAGGGAGTGCATGATGTGTCGGTCTTTTCCGAGTAGAATGGGAAGGTAACGAAGTAACATCATTAGGAGATAGTTGTTGATGTTTAGAAGTGGGACCAGAGTCGGTCTGACGTGGGACGGGCTGGCGATTCGAAAATCGCCGCACCATAGAGGGAGAAGCCGGAAGCATAGTCCAAGGCGAGTGGAGGTCAGACAAATCGAAGGAGTCAGTGGAAGCCCCGGTACCTGAAGCGGGTGAGGAAGCAGCACCAGCAAGAGGTACAAGGGCCTTAGGAATGTCCGAAGAGTGGCCAAAAGGCGAGGCGAGGTCAGAACGGGGTGCGGTAACAATAAGGGGCTCAGGGGTAGCGAGGTCATGGATATGGGACTCCATGGTTAGGTTACTTCTTTCTTTTTGTTTTTAAGAAAAAAAAGTAAGAAGAAAATAAAAATAAAAAAAAGGGGGGACCGGGGAGGGATAGTTCCTAGGAGGAATGAAAGGGCCAGAAATCCCCCTCCGCGCCCAAGAAGACCTCAGCACCGCAAGTATCGCAGATGCAGCATGGAACCCGTGCCATACCCTACCCTTCATGCCAGTAAACCAGCAATCCGGGATAGCAACCTCACATCTGCCGAGCTACCTTAGTGGACAAAAGAGAGGGTGGCCGGATATCCACCACAAAGCATACCTCCTTTGGCCACCACCCCCGGAATCCAAAAGGTGGCTTCCAGAGATACACCCATCGCCCGAAAGACACCCAAAGCCACCCTCCGGGATACCGGAGAGGGATTGGGACATCCAGGCAATCCAGATTCCACGGCAAACTACGCCACCGCCAAGAACCTCAGCGGAATGGGATGGACCCCAGTACCCTTTCCCCTACCTAGGAACTAGCGCACCTGTGGGAAAAAATCCCAAAGACCAAAAAGGAAGGGCAAAAGGGAGGGGTGGGAGGAAAGGAAAAAGGGGAGGATGGGAGAGGGAAGGGGATATTGGGGGGTAATTAGGTTCGGTCTGAGGAAGGAGACCAACAGGTCTAATTCCTCAGACCAAGAGCCTCTTCACCACGCCAAGGAGTCCCCCTTGAAGAGGACAGAATAAGCAAATAAACAAATAAATGAATAAAAGTTACGAACTTGCTGCCTTCGTGCTAAGTATATTTATCTTGAGTTTCATCTCCAAATTGCTTTTGCATCATCGTAAGTCGAGAAGCACCTGTAGTTAGTGAGGTAAGACAAGATACGATTTTCTTCGGATTTTTTAACCCCGGAGGGTTACCCACCCAGGATAACCCAAGAAAGTCAGTGCGTCATCGAGGACTGTCTAACTTATTTCCAATGGAGTCTTCAATCTTGTCCCCCAGGATGCGACCCACACCAGTCAGCTAACACCGAAGTACCTATTTGCTGCTAGGTGAACAGGAAAACAGGTGTAAGGAAACACATCGATATGTTTCCACCCACCGGGAATCGAACCCAGGCCCTCCGTGTGTGAAGCGAGAGCTTTAACCACCATGCAGGTATACATACCTATTGTAGTTGCTCCACTTTTATTTCGTTATTCAAGTTTTCATTCCATTTATTTTATTTATGTCTTTGCAAATAATACATTGAGATTTTGTATTTACAATAGTGGGTTGCAATGCAAAGAGAGCCTCTATTATGCCTAGGCATTATGGCCGCCAACTTAACATTATTGACTTACAGTCTACTTAACACTAAGAATTATGTCATAGTTGTACAGTAGAATATTAATTATATCATAGTTGTACAGAAGATTATTAATTATAAGTGAATTAATTTATACAAGACAATAGATATATTCATATATTCAAAATATGCTTTTTGTGAAAACAATGATTCAATTATATTCCTTTCAACAATGGATAAAAGGTTGCAGAATCATTCTATCTGTCTCTACTTAGAGCATAAGTGATAGGACATTCTGGCAGGATGACACTACCATTTGCATCAAAATTGAAGGGATGTGGCACAGATGTTACACATGGGTTATTTTTGAGGTTTTTGATATTTCCTCGATCACTTGTGGCCACATCCCTCCTAAAAGGAGTGTGTTAATATGATATGGCATTAGTGATTCCCTGGGGTTTGCCATACTGTTTGCTGTAGTCGGTGCTCGCAGAAGGTACTAAGTGGTCCCCAATTTGTTTTTAATACTGAGCACACTGTTAAGACCCATTCTGTACTGTCTAGGCCTATCAGGCTTCTGGCGCCAAATTGGAAGGCAGGAAAAATAAAACGTTGATCAACGTTTGGAGTGCTAGCAGTAAGAACGTAGATGAACGTTTGGACAAACACTTGGAAATAAAATCCAGAATTTTATTATTATAACTTATTATTATTACTATCACTGATATCACTGATAGTATTATTACTATATTATTATTATTATTATTATTAAAGAGCTCTTCTGCAAGCATTCATTATATAACTAAATCTTTTCAGAGTAAATTTGGCTGATACTGATTGGGAAAGATTAGAAGATGTGTCTGACCCACTGGAAACCACACAAGATAGTGAGCAGAGTGCTAAACGCAAGGCTTCCTTTCCAGTCGAAGATTCTCCACCCCCGAAGAAGCACCGTCCTGAGGAGGATGAGTGCTAAGAGGTTGCGTCCACATCCTAATGGTAAAGTTAATTTAATATCTTTATGTGTGGTAGTCAAAAGATTATAGAGGTACATAATGGAATGGTAAAATGTGGTAATTTACACTATAGCCTAATGTATAATGTCAGTGAAGATTTCTGTAGCTTTGGGTGTCTTCTTCAGTTGTCCTTTCTTGTTAATGAGAGTTAGGACCCAGGAAAGACACAGCTACAGACACCCTGGATAGGGGTTGTACATCAAGGAAAAAAACAGTGGATCAAGAAAAAAACGTGAACATGATGAATGCGAATAACAGTGGAGAACAAAAAACATGAATATGAACAATATGAATAATTGTGGGGAATAAGAAAAAACACAAATATGAAAAATGCAAATAACAGTGGGGACCTATGAAATAAATACAAGAAAAGGGAATAAAAAACAGTCTATAAATGCTGTACGGTACTGTTAAAACTGGGTTAATTTTTAACATTATATAGTCCTAACTGATTTTCGTTACCACCAAAAACATTTTATTTCTTTGTGCAGTACTGGTTGGCCATCACTGATCCGGCATCATTGCGACATGTAGTGTGTCGGATTAGTGAGTTTGCCAGATTACAGAGTGATTAGGTTAGAATACACTTTATAAATTTAACCAAACTGAGCTGTTTCATATACAGTGGACCCCCGCCTTACGATATAATTTCATTCCAGAAGTATGTTCAGGTGCCGTTACCTAACGAATTTGTTCCCATAAGGAATATTGTGAATTAGATTAGTCAGTTTCAGACCCCCAAAAATACACCTACAAAAGCACTTACATAAATACACTTACATAATTGGTCGCATTGGAAGCTGATCGTAAGGCGTGGGTCCACTGTATTTTGGCCTTTCTGTGATTAGTTTATCCTGCAGCATGTAAACGTTTATTATTTCTTGTTCACTTATTAAACTGTTGCTCTAGACCTTTTAGCAGTTCACCTGTCCGCTGAATTAACCTATCAGTAGAGACTTTCTGCTACATCTTCCTCATTTTCATCACTGCTTTCTCCTCCACTGGCTTGCTGCTGTGAATTTACAACCATCTGCACAATTTCTGAGTCAGTTTAGTGATGAAATTTGAGTCGGTATAATGACGAAATTTGAAATGATGCTAGCCGAAAATAGTGCCGGATTACTGATGGAACCGGATAACTGATTGCCGGATTAGTGATGGCCGACCTTTATAAAAAATGTAGTTTACACATAATAAAATATTGTTAAGCACCAAAGAAAGCCACTAACATGGTGTGCATTTCTGATAGATTAATCCTAATACTTACACACTACTTAAGACTAGACATATGTACTGAGCAGTACCAATGTCTAGTCTATTATGTCTACCTATTATTAAAGTATACATTATTACAAAAGAGAGAGGTAACAGAAATAGTAGAAATTTAAGACAAAGACAAAATTTCTCTCTTTACAAAGGTTACATTAAGTATTAATACTTTAAACTGATTAGTTTAGCAGACTATATGATTTCAGGAACTTGCATTTGTGGTCTCATTGGGTCCCATGCTAACCTCCCTATGGTATATAAATATACTACCTAGTTGGATGAATCTTATCAAAGCCAGCTGGCCCAGTGGCTAATGTACTGGCCTGGAGTTTTACGGCTTACTAGCTGCGAGTTCAGTCCCCACCTGTAGTATCGTGGTTTGGTTTGTTTGCAATTGTGTCATGATTTCGTGAGTCATGAGTTGGCTTTGTTTGTATAGCATATTGTTAGGGAGATTGTCATTGTTGTTACAGATTCATAGCATTTAGCTGCCCGGGTCTCTACCAGTTGGTGACCCGACCTTGGCTTCCCATTGGGGAAGTGCCGTTAACATTCAAGATGTCTTCCCATGGGAACAAGTACATTGTACCTCTTCTTCTGGTACCCTGTCTTTAACCCTTTCAGGGTTTTGGCCGTACTAGTACGGCTTACGTGCCAGGGTCCTTGACGTACTAGTACTTATAAATTCTAGCGCCTTCAAATCTAGTGAGAGAAAGCTGGTAGGCCTACATATAAAAGAATGGGTCTATGTGGTCAGTGTGCACAGTATAAAAAATCCTGCAGCAAACAGTGCGTAATGAGAAAAAAAACTGACCGTGTTTTTGGATTAAAACAGCGACTTTGCACTGTATTTTCGTATGGTATTTATTGTTGTATTCTAGTTTTCCTGGTCTCATTTTATAGAATGGAAGACATATTACAGAAATTGTCATGATTTTGACTGGTTTTACAATGAAAAGTACCTTGAAATTGAGCTCAAAGTAGCAGAAATGTTCGATTTTTACCAAAGTTCAAAAGTAAACAAATCATGCTAAGCATCCAGTACATGTCAACTGGCGAGTCTAATATTCTTTCACAAGTGTGCCGATATTATTTATACCATTTCTACACTAATGCAGTAGTCTGCATAACAGTAAATCTATTTTTTGTGAGAATAAAAATTCAAAATGGAAAGTAAAAGAATGTAAGATGGGTGTGGGGTCATGACTAATGAACAGAGGAAATGTTATTTTAGTGTCAGGAATGTCTTTCTTGTTTATTCTGGACCCTATTTGGAAATTGGCATCTTTTGAAATTTGTGTGAAATTGGCAAAATTGCTAAATTCTGACCACTGTATTGGATAGTTGAAATTGGTAAATGGGTGGTTTCTTGTACTCATTCGATAGAAAAAACGGAGTTCTAGCGAAATAGTTATGATTTTTATCGACTAGTACATTGGAATTGGCCGAAAATAGGGCTCAAAGTGGGCAAAATCGCTGATGCGTAAACATCGTCAAGACCGCTAACTTCGCGAGAGCATAATTCCGTAAGTTTTCCATCAAATTTCATACTTTTGGTGTCATTATGACCGGGAAAAGATTCTCTATCTTTTCATGAGAAAAAAGAATTTTTTTTTTTTTTTTATATTTGGGGGACCCTGAGAACAAATCTCTGAGAGGGTTAAACCCTAGCCCCAATCCCCACCCTCAAGGGGCGGGGATTGGTTTGCCACCTTCCCCACCCCATGGGGTTCATAGGGGGGGTAGAGTCTGTGGAGCCGCAGGTGTTGTGCTTGAATTAGGGAGATAAGCGATTTTTCATTATACCTTGAAATTAACTAGCACACAGGGGACTTTTTGCTGGTTCAAGCAATGAATTCCAAATCTTGGGGCCCTTCATGTGCATTGTATTTTTGCATAGAGTGAGGTGGTAGGGCAACAAGTGAATAAATGATAGTGAATGCTTTCTTCTTTGGGTCACCAGAAAATTCTGAGACTATTTGAAAAACTAAATTAGTTATTTTAGTTTTAACCCTTTCAGTAGCCATCACGTCAAACTATATCATCGAGGCCAGGGTCCCTCACGAAGATCTGTGTCATGAGCCAAACTCACTAGGATAATTGCAAGTGGTAAATTTTGGCCTAGATGTGAGAGAATGGGTCTTTGCTGTGTGTACAGTATAAAAAAAATGCAGTGCATGATGGGGAAAGCAAAACTGATTGCCGGATTAGTGATGGCTGACGTGTATACGTCAGCCATCACTAATCCGGCAATCAGTTATCCGGTTCCATCAGTAATCCAGCTCTAATTTCGGCTAGCATAATTTCAAATTTCATTATACCGACTCAAATTTCATCATTATACTGACTCAGAAAATGTGCAGATTGTTGTAAATCAACAGCATCAAGCCAGTGGAGGAGAAAATAGTGATGAAAATGAAGATGATATAGCAGAAAGTCTCTATTGACTTAACCACTCTGTAATCTGTCACACTACAGGTCCCAGTGGATTAGTGGTTTAAAATAGTAAATTTGAGGTGTTTTCTAGGGTGGTTTTTATGGCATTATTGGCTGTTTCTTGGAATCATTTCATAGAATGGAAGACATTACTGAAATAGAAATAATTTTGGTTGATTTCAGGGCTAGTAATAGGTTAACCCCTTCAGGGTCCAAGGCCAAAATCTGAAGTGGTGCTCCAGTGTCCAAGAAATTTTGAAAAAAAAAAAATTATTTTTTCTTACAGAATTGAAGAGCATATTTTTGTGAAGGTAATAAGACAAAAAAAAAAAAATGCTGATCAGTACTTACCAAGATACAGTGCCAAGAAGTTTGTCAAAAATGATGTGGTGGCGGCAACATCGACGAATTCCACATACGCGCATTACATTATTTTGCGGTTTTTATAGTTTTTTCTTTTCTTTTCCAATTTTTTTCTATTCCTACTAACATTTGGGGCCTGAGAGACCAATACTGTATATAATGTATATATATAAACTCACTGTATTGAACACAATAACCGCACTAAAGTTATTATCATACTATTGTTTACCACTGTTGTTTATTACAATAAACATGCACAAATCTTGTATAATACTAATGTTCTATCATATATTTACACATTTACAATCACTGGACATGGTTTTAGAACTGCTGGAGCTTGTGGAACGCCTTGAAACAAGGCACCATGCACAGAGGCACCTTACATTCCTCACACATAAACCGAGTGTCTTTGTGTCTTTGTTGCCGTCGTTTTGTTTGTGCACAGACGATGCATCTCTTCTGAGCAAATTTTTTCTGAGTTGAAGGAAGTTGTATTATGAAATGATCACCTTCCATCCTCAAACACTTGGGTATATCCTGAGTAATTCGAGGACCTTGTTGTATAGCAGGTGTTCTTACCTGGTACTTCATTATGAGTTGTCTGACAACAGACAAACAAAATTCAACATACGGTGGTCTGTAATAAAGTTGGTATAATTACCGACAATATGTAAAGTAAAAGGACACAAGTGCAACTAATGTGACATTTATTGTGGCAACGTTTCGCTCTCCAGGAGCTTTATCAAGCCATTACAAACAATACATGGACACAGAGGGTATATAAAGGCTCAGAGTGAGGTGTAATACTAGTGAGGTACCATTTCGATGTTCACTAGTAGTAGTAGTAGTAGTGGTAGTGACAAAAGTAATACAATATGGTAGAGCAATTAATTCGTACATGAGTAAAAGGATATA